GCTCCGAGAATAGGATTAGCTGCTAAGAGCTTCCTTTTGGGTATTTGTTTTATATTTAATCGCATTTAACCGACTTTATTAACCTTAAATTATAATAAATGCTTTGTTATTTGTTTAACCTGTCTCCTGTCTACGAAAGGACACCTGCCGACTCGCTCATCTCCCTCGCCACTCGGTAAAAAGCCATCCGAAACGGTCTTCGAAGACTGTCGCCGAGTAAGTGGTCAGTAGTGATCAATTAAAATTTCCATCTCATCCGGTCTCTCACGTATCTATCTCAGGGTATAGACTCGAGTCTCAAACTCACACGCAACTAAAGGTTTGTCAAATAGATGTATATCAGATGCGGGCTGTATTCAATATTATTGTTAGGAACCGGGGTAAATACGAGTAATTTTTCTACCGCTTATTTGGCTACGGATCTAGAAGATCCGCCCTCAGGGTCGAAGGATGGAGTTTATATTAAAATTTTGATAGACTACAAAATCGTAGAATCTTGGTCTTGTCGAGCTTCCGACACTAGCCGAAAATTTAGCGTTAAGCACTTTTCTGTGTAATTTAGATAATTCTTCCGAAGGGGGTCAATAGGCGAGTGATAGAATTTCGGCATTAACGCGAGTTGAAGAACGAGGCCATAATAAAGTAAGAAAACATTTTTAATAAAAAAATGTTTTCTTACTTGTTTAATAAAAAATAACGAATAAAGTACAGCTATGGAGAGATTGTTATTCCCTATTTTATCATATTTCTGTTGACTGCTTCCAATGGGAAAAATCACACTTTTTATCGTCGTTTCGGTCCAATCACGTAAAAGAATCCGCTGTTCTAACGGGACTTTTGGGGTCGTGGAGAGGGGGAGAACTACTAGATCGATGTCAAATTTGTAGATAAGGTGTAGTGGGAACGTGATATCGTATTTTTCCTTTTTGTAAATAAATTTGAAAAAATACATATATTTCCTACGCTAATTAATTAAATCCCGTTTCTCTCATTATTCAATAAACCATATATAATTCTATAATTTAAAAAAGCTGTAAAAGGGCCTTTTTCGGCTTTACAACTTAAAGAAACAGTTAGAGATTTAAGGTTTTTATTTTTGTTTTCTCAAGACGTTAGAATATTGTTTTTGTAGAAAAGTAATCATTAATGCCGCGGGCCAGATATGACGCCTGAACGCAACGTCTCCCGTCTGTGGGCCGCCTGTTTGCAACCCCTAATGTTGAGTCATTAAGACACACATATAATAAATGAGAACACACGTATAACATAGATATATACGTGTGTTTGTATGTTTCTATGAGAGAGAGAGGGGGGGACAGAAACATGTCAACGTCCTTAACGAAACTACCCATAAAAAGCCAGAAAGGATTAGAAAGCGACTTTGTTTTCCACTTAAAAGAATCGGTTTTTCCAGACTGCTCAATTTAGATTCCGGCATAATTAATATACTAGTATATTAATGCGGTGATAAAATACGAACACCCTCATTACCAGACCAAACAAACAATTAGGTCTGGTGTAGTATAACACTTACTATGTGTTTCTACTTCAAATACTGATGAGGTAGTAAAGAAAACGCTCAGGTTCAAATGCATTTTGTGTAAGCAAATCTCTTCTGTTATAAATAAAATAAGTACTGTTGAAAAGAACNAAATTAAAGTAATAATAAGCTCAGCAAGAGTATGGTGTTTTGTTTATATTTGAAAACAGATTAATTTTTCTTACCTTATTTGAGGCAGTTTCACAGAGAAACTGTTGTATTTCTTCTGATCCTTTTACAGAGGTTTGGTTGCAAAAAGCAATTGTAAAAGACATTCAGATTCTAAGCGTAATAAATGACGTTTTAATTAAAAATACCTCTCAAATTTTATTTGATAAATCAATAGATTTTACCTAACCTAACCTAAACTACCTTAATTACGTTCAATACATTCGTACTAAATACATAAAGGATAATATACGACATCCTAAAAACAGAACTGTTGCTTCCACCCTCTAACGATCTCTAAATCTTACCCTCTATTAAATAATGTATGTCTGTTAGGTAAAATATCCTATACCTGTAAATGTATTTTATAATTTTCCATATTTAAAGCAAGTTTGAATTGCATTTATATAACCGATGTTTATTTTGTCGTAGAGCGTGTGTGTGTCTGTTCTCTGCTCGTTATCAGGGATATTTTTAAAATTTATTTGAAATTCTAATGTGTCTAAATGTGGAGTAGTTCGCATACGTCCTTGAGCATTGTAGATAATAGGTTTTGAGCACTATCCGTAAGAAGTTGAATAGATGTAGCTCTTAAAACAATGTTGATAACAAAGGCTTTAGCGGTGGTTTTACTATAAATATTCGGTAAAGGTATAACTTCGGAAATCGACTAAAATGATCCACCAACACTAATATATATTTATTTCCATTCATTGTAATGGGTAAGTTTTGTTGAATCTTTTGCGCTCCTAAATGACCTCCAATAGGAGAGTCACAATACCTAATATAAATGGGATCAAGACAGACGGTACGACTAATAGAAATTCTCCCTGGCTAATAGGTCGTAAGATTTCTCAACTTCTGGATAATAGGGTTCCACTTTGTATCACGTCTCTGAAATTCTCCGTCTCTGAAATTCTGATTTTTGAGGGGCTCGGTTCTCGATCCTCGCTCTACCAAAAGGTGTGTCTCGGAAGCCTCGGGAGTCGTCGCCCAGTTTACCTCGGGGTTAATGTTGTCTTCTTGATCTCTATGTTTCCGAGAACGCCAAAAGGCTGGGGTCTACGTATAGGGTCGCTTCGACTACGTTCTTGGGCTCCCAGTTGCTATAACTGCTCCTGAATTTTCGCTAAAAATTTCTTTAATTGTAGTCTGTAGCCTTAGGTTCTTCTTTATTATGGCTAGGTTATTTATAGTTCTTACTATCGCTCGGAATTTCCCCGTTAGTTGGTCTACAGTTTCCTCACTAATTGCAGCTCGCCCTATCGAAGATATCCGGTTCCCGTGACATTACCTGTCGGTTTATTCAGTCATTGAGAAAGTGTAAATGGAGAATTTCTCAGGTAGTAGATTCGAGAACAATTATTAAATAAGTATGACGAGGTCGACGTTATATTGGATTCTCACATAGGCAATAAGCTCGTTTGCTTTGTTGTATACGGCAACGTGACACGTGGGTAGACTACATAGGTAGGATGTCTCCAGGGAAAACATTCTGACCCCTATTTAGGCATTAAAAACGTAAAGAAAAGTCAAAAATTTGAATTTGGTAAGTTTTTTGGCTAGGAACAACTCAAAACCAACTACTCGCACTCGGGTATTGAAACTGTGATTAATATTTTGTCGAGAAATTTAGAACTAATCTAATAACTAATTTTAAGCCTGATTCCTTTCACCTGAATCGGTACAGATGAGGCTATCATCGAGGAGAGAAACAATACTTTTACTTGTAGACACTCGATTAGTTCGTGCGTGTTGTTGGTGTTTTGCACCCATTTTTCGTTAGGCAATCGCAATGTTGCTTTTTAAAGCTTGTTTTAAAAAGAATAATTTAAAGAACTTTTTGTCTTTATAACTAGCATAAATTCTTATATTTTGCGTGTTTCTTTTGCTAGAATAACTTAAAAATTAGTGTTTCGGCGAATTAAGCTTGTCTGTAATTTTGTTACAAACCTTAAACGTATAAAACTATTGCTATAGAAAACTATTATTTATAATAAAACTAAACATTTATATGTACTGTAGTACGTAAAAAATTAGTTTGTTATCCTGCTCGAAACTAAAAACATATTTAATTCTATTACTTGTAAGACTTCTTTGTACAGTACATCCTGTACAATAACAATACGAAGAAACATTAGTGCTTTGAACCTTATTGAAAGGCAGTATTTGCCGCATTCCTTTGGTAATATGTGATTATTTAAAATATAATTTGTAAAGCTAATACATAATATTGCCAACAGGAATGGACTGAACAGTCGTTACATTCGGGAAATCCCTTTAGAAAGGTCCACAAAAGGAATAAATGAAGTCTTGTCTTATACAACGAAAGACAGAAGAATGTTATTGCTATCAGTATATACTTGTAAATAGAGGACTGAGAATTACAGTTCGTACTATAAGGTGTCTTTCCAACCAATTAACACCCGTATTCAAAGTATAGAAATGGACGTCGGGCTCAAACTTAAAACCAGAATGTTTTAAACTTCAGTAGGGGGCCAATGCAAAATGTATTTAAATTACATTAAGAGTAAACTTATCTTTCAATAATGAATAATTAGTTAAAGAAACCTGAGAACGCTTTGTTTTATTACAAAAATTAGAGGTAATAAGTCACGTGAGTACAAACTTCGTTTTTCAATGGCATATGCTAAGGTCATTGACACATTTCCTATGTTCTTTCCCTTCGCATTTTCATTTACTCCGATAAACTCAAGTAAGTTATAAAAGAATTATTTTTCACGCACCAAATAAGGAAAAAAGAAAATATTTTAACAAATACAAAATAACTTCGATCTTTTCAACAGGATTTTTTTAATTTAGAACAAAAGTAAATTGTTTATACTAATTGCATTTAAATCTGTTTTTTCTATACTTTCCCTTGAAGTGAAAGTGAAAACACATAGAATAAGTGATATAATACGAACACTCCTTTTCCTGCATTAAAGAAACAACTTGGTCCTGTGTAATATAACACTTACTCTGTGTTTCTACTTCAACTACTGAAGAGGTAGTAAAGAAAACAAACACATGCAGATGCATTTAGTGTGAGCAGATCTCTTTTCTTAAATATAAAATAAGTACTTCTGGAAAGATAAAAGAAAACTTATATTATTTTAAGTACATTTTAATCGATCTCTCGTAAAATATAAGTATTATAAATACGCGAGTAGAACGATTCAGTGTACGTGATTTTGCATAGAAGAAAGAAAAAGTTAATGCTTAAATCCAAATTTATTTACTTTCAAATATTTCAATTACGTTTAAATTTAAAGAAGAATTTAATACATTTTTCGTTAAAATACGTAAAATTTCGCTGAAAAGCAGTTAACAAAAATCCAAAATGTTAACTTATAAAACGACAAATATAAACGACAAATGGGTAAACAACGAGAAGTGGAAAACAACTTTGAATGCAACACTGAAAAAAACAAATATAAAATTTGTAATTTTGTTTTTGTTAATAATTTTTACTTTTCATTGTTGACACTTGCAATAGAAACTTACCTCAAATTGTCGAGAGAAAACTGATTGAAGATTGTCGTAGTGTATACATTTATGAAATTCTTTTAACTGCTATAAAAATGTGATTACAAAAAATAATTTCAATTTATTTGTACGAATAACTAAATTTTATATCTAAAAAATTAAAGAAAAATTCCACAACGTGTTTCATAAGTAAAGTTTATAGCTAAATAACAAATATTTTCGAAAATATTCGGGACAGAGGGGTTGGAGCAGAAAGGACGTCTTGGATAAAGATAATGGAGAAAACAGATAAATTGTTCTTACCTCATTTGTGACAGTTTCACATAGAAACTGTTTTATTCCTTCTGATCCTGTTGTAGAGGTTTGATCCCGAAGGCAATTGTAAAAGATATTCAGATTCTAAGGGTAATAAAGACGTTTCATTAAAAATATCTTTCAAATTTTTATTTTATAAAAGCAAAATATTTCACCTCTGCACTAACGGTATTATTAAAACATTTGCCAAAACAGTCAAGATAATTTACACCTGTAAAAAACGTCATAATTAGTGAGACTTGCACTTGAATATTTCACTCATTAAAAAAATATAGCTGGGTTTTTATTTGTATGTAATATAATTTTTTATATATATATAAAAGACTGTTTTTCTAAGTAATCTAGAATCTAGCTGCAAGGACCCGCTTCGCTGGGCAAAAAGTACTGATAGTGAAGATTAAGATAATTACATTATAGCCAATCTTACCCGTTTTCACAGAATGCAAGAATAAGGTCCCCCGTTTTCAGACTAATTAGATAATTTTTACGTTTAGTCAAACAAACTATTTTTAATGTTTATGGAACGTTTACAATCGTTCTATAATCGAACCAATATTCGAATTTTATGTTCGAATTTAATTCGAAGAAATTCGAACAAAACATTCGAAATACAAAGCCACTTTCAACCACTTTCAGCCTCATATCTCCCGCACCCTTATAGCTATCCAGACGCAACCACCATAGTGCACGAATGGAGACTTGGGACTATCACCACATACAAACACCATTCATGTGCGATGTGTAGTTTTTAAGGGAAAGTGAAATATAGGGACATACATGTCCATTTATATATATATATATAGATTAACAACAGTAAAAAAATAGAAATATCTTACTGCAGTACTGGTTAATATAAGATGGTCTATTAGTCGTATCGGCGCGGACACTCCATACCATCATCAACACGAAGGATAAAATAAAAGTGGAGAACATTCCTTTCATCATAGTGACTTCGTTTTTTACTATAATATCAATAGATTATGATTAATTAATGTGACTTATTTTCAACAAATAAATAGAATTAATTAAAATTAGTATCTACAATATTCTACAATAGAAACACACATAAGAGGAAAGTATTATATACGGAGAAAAAACACAACTAAATTGAAGTGGTGAACATATAGTTTAAATTAAATAAATTCTAAAAATGTGATTAAAGCATAGCATTGTGACTATGACGCAATAAATAATTGCTCGTTAATAAATTAGGAGTCGCGTTAATAGTGGCCCAAAATAAAAGTTACTTGACTGAATAGTCATTAGACCCGCAGAAATCCTTAAAAATAAGGACAACTAAGAGTAGAAGAATGAGAAGGAAATAATAAAAAAATTCTCGTCTGGTGTGCCCGAAGACAGAAGAATGTTTTTTAATCTGTATATAGAGCACCGAACTTTATAGTTCGGGCAGTACGACGTCTTTCCAAGCAATTGGAACGCTCCTATTCGAAGTAGAGAGGAAGAGTTCTGACAGGAACTGTTTTAAACGTCACATAGATAAAATGTATTTAAATAACATTGAGAGTAACCTTTCAACAGTGAATAGTTAGTCAAACGACCTGAAATCGCTTCATTTTAAAGCTAAAAGTTACGCGTAATGTGTCATGCAACTGAAAACTCTATTTTCAAGTGGCGTATACTGACGTCATCGGCAGGTGTTGTATGTTCTAGAAATGTTACTTCTACCCATTTTTGCCTTCAGTCCTATAAACTAAATTAAGTTTATCTACATCCTAAAAAATGTACTGTTGCCTTCACCCTCTGACGATTCCTAAAGCTCGACGTCTTTTAACATACATTTATTAAGTGATTAATTGTTTAATTAACGTATACTTTATTTATAACACCGTTGTTTTTATAACCACTTTTACCTTCTCAATAACCGGAACAGAGCAGGGCGCATGCAGTTATATTATTATAAAATTATATTTTTTCTAAAATATTTCTTATATTTGAAGTCTACTTCTAAAATATCTAAAAAGAAAGTTTTAATTGTATTTATATAAACGATATTTATGTTGTTGTAGAGCGCGCGTGTGTGTCTGACCGCTGCTCCATATCGGGTGCATTTCGTGTATATTCTAGCGTAATTATTATTTAAAACGTTCATTAAATAAATGTAGTAGTGTGTTTATTGATTAAACTATTGCGTCTTTTTAGTGTTCTTAATAACATACGTAATAATAATTGTTTTTGTTTGTTTGTTTTTCAATTTACGGCGTGGCCGTTCTGTGTTGCTAGTAACTAGGTTTGTACTGCAGGTGTTTAAAACACCAGGCACAAATGAATGCACGTGTTATAAAATGTTAGCTTTAGCACGATTTAGTTTAAAACTTCGAACATTTAAAAATATGAAATAGGCTCCTACTTAAGTGTTATAAACAAGAATACTCGAAAAACTCTATTATTATTCAGGCTTGAATCGATGACCACCAAGTATTGTTTAGTAATAGTTAATTTTTTTGTATTGATGAATTGTTTTAAACATAAATTAATAAACATAAACATAATAGATTGTTGAATGTATTTCATTTACACTGCAACCTATATTAAAATTGTTTTAATAAATCGTCGTTTATGGTTGGAATATTAGAATGAATATTGTATAAAATTATCTATCTATCTATCTATCTATCTATCTTCTTCTCAGGAATACTAGTTACTTATACTAATAAACACAACTGATTACATTTGTCGAGTTTTTTCTTTTTTTCTTTTTCTTGGCCTATCCAAATAGGCTGAAAATGTTTGGAATAAAGAAAAAAACTCGGTAAATATAATCAGGTGTGTTTATTAGTATAAGCAACTGGAATTAATTGATTTCCAGAATGATTCAGTTTTAAAAAGACAAATATCGAGAAGTAGGAACTCCCAAAATATATTCTTATTTAGATGAATAATACCTGGAAATTAAAAAGTTTGCTGCACAAATTTTATGCTTTTTTGGAAGTATATACTTATGTGAGCAATTATTTTCATGCAGCTTACAGCTCAAGTTTACAGATTGAGATTAACTGATAAACAACTATCTGCCATAATGAAGATTGTTTGTTCTCAGTCTTTGAATCCAGATATTGGAAAACTAGGAGGAGGAAGAAAGCACTGGCAAGTTTCTGGTAAAAACAATTAACTTTAGTTTTATAAATATGTACATTAAATAATATAAATGTTTGAATAAAAACAATACTATAGCAATTATATATTGTTGAGTTGAATTCACTGAACTACATAATGTGTTTTAATTGCCCTATACCACGGGTTGGCAACCTGTGGCTCACGAGACATATGCGGCTCTTTCGATGTGAAGCTGCGGCTCTTTAGTTCCATATGCAAATATTATTTATTTTATCAAAAAAAAAAAATTTAAAAATCGTTCTGAATCGATTAACGAGGATTAGGCACTGATTTTATCTCTCAGCCACTTGTACTCGCTTTTCACCGCACCCCTCCCCCGTAACACACGTCGTCACTGTCGTCAGTCCGTCGGAAGCTCTCGAATGACGCCGTCGTCAGATGTTTCTATTATCTAATTTGTTGTGAATAACACTACTTATATATGAATAAATAGATATTTTTTCTTATGAATAAATAGATTAGTTTTTTTTTTATCAAAAAACTTTATTTATGCGAGTACTATTTATTGTTGGCAAGAAAAAATTTTGTGGCTCTTTAAAAACTTTGAAATTTTGTAAATTGTAATTTTGGCTCTTCTGACTCAAAAGGTTGCCAACCCCTGCCCTATACTCCTTCATTCTCACTTCAAATTATAATTTTAAGAAAATTTGTAAATGTGATGTGACCTGCATGAATCTTACCAGCCACATTAAATGGCCCCTTGTTTAAATGAGTTTGACACACCTGCTGTACATCATACTTTTCCTGTAACAATAGAGTTGTGCCAGTTATGTATCTAACTCTGTTCAGAAAAAAATCTTTAAACTGAAATAATGTGACTTCTGGATCAAACCAGAAGTTTGTATATAGTTAATCTGGGTTCCTGCTCTTAAGCTTTCCATATATGATCTTGACATTCATCTAACTAACTCCATTCTCAAGATCAGAGAAGGACAGACAACAGACAGACAACAGAGGGAATTTATGTCTATAATTTTTTCTAAATGCAGTCCAACAAATTTCAGCTCAATAAGTACCTCCAATAATCAAGTGGATAAAATCATCAAACACTGATAATCAGTCGTGAGTTTGCATGTGGCCAATCCGTTGGCCACACACAAACTCATGACTGATTTGCATGTGGCACTGAAGTTTCCTGGTATTTCTTCACATTAGTAACACCTAAATAGGGGCAAGCTTTACATAAAAAGTCTTCCCAGGATGCATCCTCCTTGGCAGATTATTCACGTGTCGCATTGCCATAACCAAATAAATCAAACTAATTCTAATACTTTTCTTATAAATGAGATATTTACAAGGACATACTTAACTACCGNGTTAATCCGGCCCTGCGAATCAGAATCGCTGGTCCCTACAAGGTTCTGTACAGAAATTGTATCATTGGGCCCATCATTGGGCCCATCCATTGGCGAGCTTGCATGACTGCAAAGTCCGCCTCTCCATAGGCTTGGTGCACGCCAATTCACCACCTGCTACGCTCGCTTCTTTTATGACTTTATCATTTCGATTGCCAGAAACGCTGGGTATATTTTTTGCACGAAACACATTTTTAGAACACACGCACACAGTTTCTATATTTGCCATCATAGTAATAAAAATAATATAGAGGGGATCAGGGTGGTCTCGACTGTTCAGGGGTATCCTGAATATGTTCGAGAATCAAAGTATGCGTTGAAGAGCTAGCTCTGACGTCAGACTCACTGAGAACTAATTTTGGCCCTCTTATTGCCGGGTTGTCAATACTTGGTCAGCTGCCGGGACAGCTACCCATTTAAGTTGCCTCCTACCCAAGGTTACCTCAGCCCAGCTATCTGAATGGCTTGGGCTTCCCCATCATTTGTACTAAGAGACACTCTACTTGTTTCCTGTCCTCCGAGACCACATTCGGCCATCCAACTCATCGTCAGGCCTGTGAGCACCGCTCCCTCCAAAAACGTAAAAAAGTTGGCCGTATGTCTGAGGAGCAGCTCTGCTGACTGCCCGTTAAGATAGATACCAGCTAGCAGGCTCCTACAATCCACTGTAGGCACTACCCCCTGACAACCAGTGAGGCTTCGGCTGCCGGTGTACTACTCCTCGCTTCGCTGGCTCTGGCATGCAGGTTGTGGCCCCCAATCCAGCACCAAATGTGCGAAGCCCATTCTTCATTTTGGGATGCTAACAGAAGGAGCTTTACGTAATCTGCGTTACCAAGGGCTAAGGCTAAGTCGACTGAAATCAACTGCCTTTAACGTGAAACATCAGCCCCGTGCCATTGGGTGAATGCAGAAGTTTGCTTTGTGTGTCTCAGATCCCAAAGGGTGTGGATAGTCAAGACCATGACCTCTGGTCTCTGTACTGACGCAGGATTTAGATCCAGAAGTTTTGGCGTCCACTGTGTGCTTCTATATGTGTAATCAGGTACGTAACCCATCGGCTCAGGATACAATATGCATCTCGCTACAAGCAGACGATTTGACCGTCGCGAGTAAGGGGACTTGGGACCGTTTGCCGAAGCAAAGAGTTCCTACCACGTTTCAGCAGCGTCCTTGTCGAATGCCATCACACCGCAGGCCAACGGGTGCCAACACTTTCGTCGGCAGAGCTACCTAGTTTTACATCACAGAAGCTCGATCGATTACACTCTGCATATCTCGTTCGAAGACAACTCCTTTTTAGGAACCATATTGGTAACGGCTACAGCGACCATCCTCCAGCTCTAAACTTACCTAGCGCTCATTTTGGCCGTCTTATTGCAGATACTATTAAGGACGGCCCCGTGCCTCGATCGCACCAGTCACCCTTCTGTATTAGAATGAGTCTGCATGCCATAATGCCAATTTGCAGCTCTAGTAGCCGTATGCTTTAATGGAGATAAGTTCCAGTTTAGGGAGATTTTCGAAACACCCAGACTCATCCCCCACCAATAACGACAATCGGACAGCAAGCTTCTAAAAGGCTTGGTACACAGACCCAAAGCCTTTGATATTTTGACACCTCTGGAAACTTTAGCTCGAGTCGTAAGGCTCCACTAATGATCAAGACCAAGACGAGTCTTTTAGGACCCAGTACTCGTCGTCTGTAGGCCCCCTGCCATGTCCAGGCCGCGGTTCTCTACCTGGGGGAGACTGGTTCAGTAGAGTACCTTTTATGTATGTAGTGAAGGGTTCCACCATCTTCAGTACAAATGGGCGACTGGCTCTCGCCTTTTCCACCTGTTTGGCACGCAATGCCAATCAGCTGGCAAAGGTGATGGCCAGCCTTTGCCTGCTGATTGCCTGGGATCCCCAACCTCAAGGCGACGTGTCATTCATGTTTCGCCCTCAGTATTCTACCCATGATCTCATGTACCAGCGAATCATTATGGTACTCCTCACTCAAGGCCTGAAGAGACGACTGGCTATCTGAGCATATTGTGCCTGGCTCTGGATCTAAATGTAGCAGGATCCACTGAAACGCAACCTGCAGGGTCACCAGTTTTCGCCTGGAA